ATAATAATAATAATAATAAAGCGGCACTGTAAATTATAGATCTACTAACCTGCTCACTTCAATTTTTCTGACATATATTTCATTTCACACTTCATGTAGCCGGTTATTAAAACAAAGTTTACCACCCATTCATTCAAACTGCGTTTTCGGTAAACAATCTTAAGTCAAGCAGAAAATATCACCTAAACCTCAAGATTCAGCGACACTGTTGAAAGGGCTCATGTTTAGCACTAAAAGGAAGAAAAACTTACAGATAATCCTGAGGAATTTTTAAAGTCAATTGGTCATCAAAAACGGTAGTCCGCTTTTAAATATCCCACACTAGTTTTCAACATATATTTTGATATCGTAGCTTTCGATTTAAAACTTGTCAGCCTTGACCATTTTTGCAGACTGTCCAAAAAGAAAATTTTTAGACAATAAGTCAAAACTCATATCAGAAAAACTGTAAAACGTTACAGAGGCTCAACTGAGCTTATGATCGTGACTGGCTACGGACAAGCAGCTGAAACGGACTTTGTTCTGTTTTCTAGGAATCTTCTTCGTTCAACTTCGCGCGTCGCTTACGTATGTCATTTGTACTTATTGTCGATACTGATGGAGCCGCTGAAGAAACAAGTTACTTGTTCGATTTGCTTCGATACCTACACAGAGCCCAAAACTATATCATGTCTTCACACGTTTTGCTGTGAGTGTTTGGAGAAACATGTAAGAGTGAGCCAGAAAAAGGGAAAATTTCGATGCCCCGAGTGTCAGGCAGTGATCGATTTACCAGATGGAAATCGCTTCGACCGTTTGCCTAACAGTTTTTTCCATAAGAGGTCATTGAATCGCGCTGTTCGACAGGGTGGTGCGGCGAGTATAGCTTTACTTGTTATCAATGCAGCGTAACCAATCCCCAGATGTAATACTGCTTCGACTGCGAACGATTCATGGGCCCTGATTGTTTCAACGCACATGAAGTGCTCATGGAGTAAATGTAGTGGTTTTTCCATCTCTTCTATATTTGCCTTTACTACAGAGAAACTGAGTCGAAGATGAGGCAATATATAAATGATTTAATAAATGAATCAAAAATGATAAAAAATAGTTCTTATTTATCTCTTCCCTTCTTCCACCCCCCCTTCCCCCCCCTCCCTTCCCCCCCCCCTCCCCGGCTCACCCCCATCCCTCTCTCCTGATTTCTCACGAACAAAGTGCGAGCGAAAGGGAAGCATAATAAACAAGCGACATGCGGCTGATTTGCATAAATTAACTAGCGTGCCTTGCTGCATGACCTGAAGATATAAAAATTTGGATTCCCAGTCGCTCACGATTACCGATGTTGTTAAGTAACATACTCTATTCAATAACAAAAGCGAAAGCGTTTACAATAAATAAAAAATTCATTCAAACTGTCCGTGCATGTTTGATAATCTCACCCTATGTGGCAATTGTCGATTTTCGTAACGTGACGCGATTCGTTTCGATAATAACTCCGTCCATTACGATTAAAACTATCAAGTTTGATTTCCATCGTCAACTACAACGAGTAAATTGAAGAGGTCAACTAATATATTGAATGTGATCTCTGAGGTCATGACAGATGTCCGTTCTGCTTTCTCGGAAATCTAAATATAGTCGTAAAAAGTAGCTTGATGGTTTTTCAAAAGAAAACTATTTATTTTCTGTTTTCAATGAATGATGTCTTCAAAACCAAAAGCGTTTAGATATATGTGTTTTCAAAGATCTCTGGGAATGGCTAAACCGAGGAGATATAAGATAGATGAGAACTTTAGTCGAATGTCTCGCCGGAGGAATGCAAATTACGAATTATTATTTCGGTCTCAGCTGGTAACGTTGTTGCCAGCCAAATTTCCTTTCATGGGAGAAGGGGTTGCCACTGACAACGGAATAACTTAGTCTAAGTTCTGGAATGCGATTGGCCAGAAGAAGTCAGTTGTCATGAATTTGAGCAATTTTTATTGCAAACTGATTGTATTGTAGTGTCTAGTCTGTTAAATCATATATACAAGTGTCTTAACAGGGCTCGTCGCTGAAAAACGGATCAGTTTACAACAGTTTAAGGCGTTAGTCATGAATTCTCTCCCTAAGAATCTCAAGAAACAAGTTACTTGTTCGATTTGCTTCGATACCTACGCAGAGCCCAAAACTATATCATGTCTTCACACGTTTTGCTGTGAGTGTTTGGAGAAACATGTAAGAGTGAGCCAGAAAAAGGGAAAATTTCGATGCCCCGAGTGTCAGGCAGTGATCGATTTACCAGATGGAAATCGCTTCGACCGTTTGCCTACCAGCTTTTTCCATAAGAGTTTATTGAATCTTCTGGCTGTTCGAAAGGGTGGTGCGGCAAGTAGCTTTACCTGTTTTCAATGCAGTGCAACCAACCCCCAGATGTACTACTGCTTCGACTGCGAACGATTCATGTGCCCTGATTGTTTCAACGCACATGAATTGCTCAAGAAGTCTTTTCAAGGACACAAAGTCACACCAGTTCAAGACTTCAAAACAGAAGATTACGAAGCATTGTTAAAGAGACAACCGTTTTGTTCTCGGCAGTTCCACGAGAGAGAAATTACACGGTTCTTTTGCTCGCAGTGTCAAGTTTGCATTTGTCAAATTTGCATAGTCACGGATCATCAAAACCACAAAGTTGTTGTGCTCGACAAAATAGCACACGAGGAAAAGGATAACATGATGTCGGGCGCTAAATTGATCAAGAAAATGGAAAACAAGCTCCGTGAAGTCATTAAGCAGTTTAAAGAAACCATTTCGAAGCTGGAAAGCAATATGGAAACGGCTAAGCGAAGCGTCAAGCAAGCAGCTGAGGAAATGATCGCAGATATTCGAGAGCGCGAGCGAGAGGCGTTGGAATCCCTCGAGGAAACACGCGCGTCGAGACTCCATAAAATTAACTCGGCTAAACAGGAAGTGGAATCCTTAGTAAAACAAATGAACCAAGCAGCTCAGTTTGCGGAAAATCTAGTGCAGGGAACCTCAAGCTCGGATATTATGCAGAACAAAGAAACTATAAGGACCAAATTTGAAGAGCTTCTGCGAGTTGAAGTTCCAAAACATCAGCAGACGACATTCATTAAATTCACTGCAGCATCTCACAAGGACTTGAAACTGGGTTTCATTGAAGTCACTGAAGACGCAGCAAAGGCAGCTAAATCAACTTTAGACGGACTGGATCAAACTTTCCAGGCTGGAGTAGAAGCAGAGTTTACGTTATATCCAAAGAAATCTGGAGATGAGATGAGTAACCAGGCTGATCTTAAAAGTCGAGTTGAATTGCTGGTTAAACCCGTCAAGGATGTTACAGACGTGATTGTCGAAGAGAAAGAGGACGGCAATCTTGCATTGAAGTTTACTCCCAAAGTACCTGGCGCCTATAGCATTGAGGTGAAGATTAATGGCGATAAACTATCGACCCGTCCCATGACTGTGCAGGTAAAAGAACGTGAAATTGTTGTGGTCGGTGAGTTGAAGTTAAAGCTCTTTAAAGGGAACACTCTTGAACGGTTATTTGGAGTTGCTGTGAATACAGAAGGCCAGATAGTTGTAACAGATAACTTTGGCCACTGTGTTTATGTCTTTGACAACAATGGCAACTGTTTGAGAAAAAGTAGAGGCGAGGGTAGCAATACAGGACAATTTCAGTACCCTAATGGCATTTCGTTTTTTAATGACAACGAAGTCCTGATTGCAGACTCAGGAAATTGCAGAATACAACGACTTAATATTCAGACAGGAACCGTGGTCAAAAGTTTTGGAAAAAGAGGCAGGGGAAAAGGAGAGTTTGGCAGGCCATTAGACGTTACTGTGGATGATAAAGAACGCATTGTTGTAACCGAGTGGGACAATAATAGGATACAGGTGATGTCAAAGGAGGGGGAATCTATTTTCACATTTGGAGACAAAGGCCCAGAGAAACTTTTATGGCCAACCTGCTGCATTCTTTACCAAAACAGGTTTCTCGTATCCGATACAGGCAACCACTGCATAAAAGCTTTTGATCAGTCAGGAACATTGTTATACAAATTTGGCAAAAAAGGGAATCAAGATGGACAATTTAACTGGCCGTATGGTTTGCTTGTAGACAGCTCCGATAATCTTCTAGTATGTGACTCTGGCAACAACCGAGTTCAGCAGTTTTCTTTAGACGGTCGCTTCACCGGCAAAAGCATCATTCGTTTATCTAATGTTACAGCGATGTTAACAGCACCAGACAGGCGTATTCTTGTTACTAGCCATGATGAGAAAAAGGTGTACATTTTAAAATAGACACTCTCAAAAGTGAACTCAAGTTTGCTTCTCGAGCCGCTCCTTGCCTGTGATTTGCTTCATTTTGATGCTGTTTCATCATTTGTCTGGAAAAAGTCTTGGCGATAATATCAAGACTTACAATTCTACTTGGAGACAAAAACCTTTTGACTTGAAGTACTTAGCCCAGGTCTTTCAAGCTCGTCAGTTTCAAGCCGTCTTAATCTCTTTTATTAAGTTCTTTATCAATCGTTTTTTCTCCGATCTAAAGTTTTGTTTATTTTCTTTAAGGTCAAGGTATCGCTGCAATTTGAATAATCTACTCCAAGAGATTTAACAACAAGTCCTCAAAAATGAGTAAGGGGAGCAGTAAAACTGCTTGGTGTATCGAAAAATTCGACAAATTTGACTTTTTTTATAGCCTGAGAATATATATCTGGAAAACTTCAAGACCATGTGCTGCTTTTTGCAGTCATTGATTAGTCAGGATAGATTAACTGCAGGTTTTTCAATCTAAGAAAATGTATCTTTAATGAAGCTTTAATTCAAGAGCAATTTATGGCTGCATAATTTCACATGTATAAGTAATCAACAAGCACAAGAGGTAAGGTGACAATTGTGTTAAAAAATGAGCATCTACCGAGTAGTAAGGTCATAACTAGAGGTGGTTTCTAAGTAAGCTTAAGTGTTAGCTCTAATCTGTTTTGTAAAATGGTCTTAGGTTGAATAAATGAGATTTATTTCCAACTTTTTGTTTTTGAAAGTAACTTCCAGTTTCAAATATAAATTACATTTTGAATAAAGTTATTTACAAAATTCAGAGGGAAACATCACATTAACAATTGGTTTCCCTGGAAAATAAAAATTAAAAAAAAAAAGTTTATGTCGTGTTCATTTATAGTCTAGCTATAATTGGCCATCAGGAAACCGCAACTGAGGCAACTAAACTGCATAATTCTTCATGCGACAAAAACAGGGATAAACTGTGGCAGTGAATAGTCATTAGCGTTGTAAGATTAACCCTCACAGATTTGAACATTTTCTTTTTTGCACTATTTAAAAGTTTCCATACGCGTAATCGGCTAGACTGTAGCGATTTCACTCTCATATAAACCCGCATAAAGACTTCTCAGTACTTGTCCCTGATTGCTCAGCGAACTTGACACTCATCTCGTGGAAGAAGCAAGTTTACAAGGTTGGTTTTTAATCGTTGTGAATCCCATTTGCCACAACAATCACAGCTCTTGCACGTATTGCAGACCTAAAAAGCTTTTCTTATTCCTGCAACAATGGTTTGATGGATCACTCTTTGCCGGAATCACATGACCAAAGTTTGTATTTTGTTCTTTCGAGCACTACTGTCATCGTAAGATATAATTTTTAGAAATAAAAGAAAAAAAAGGGAAGTTTTAACGAGTAAATGTAGTGCTTTTTCCATCTCTTCTGTGTTTGCCCTTACCACAAAGAAAATGACGTAAAGATAAGGCAATAAATAAATGAATCAACAAATAAATCAGAAGGGATGAAAAAGGAATTGTTTTTTATCTCTTCCCTTTTTCCACACCACCTTCCCCTTCCCCGTCCTGATTTCTCGCGAACAAAGTGCGAGCGAAACGGGAAGCGAAATAAACAAGCGACATATGACTAATTTGCATGAATTAGCTGGCGTGCCTTGATGCATGACTTTGAATTCTCCTTCCCTCACGATTGCCGATGTTGTTGAACAACATACCCTATTCAATAACAAATGCTACAACACTTACAACAAATAACAAATAATTCAAACGGTCCGTGGATATTTGATTAGCAATTGTCGATTTACGTAACGTGATGGCGTTTCGTTTCGACAATAACTGTTTATTAAAACTATTAGTTGTTAGCTATGATTTCCATCATCCACTAAAACGAGTAAATTGAAGTAAACAGATGCAGTTATAAGTCACAAACTGAAGAGGTCGACAAATCTATCCAATTAAAGTGATCAGTAAAGTCATGACAGATTTCCGTTCTGCTCTCTCAGAAGTCTAGCTATGGTCGTAAAAAGTAGCTTCATGGTTTTCTAAAAGAAAACTATTGATTTTCTGTTTTCAATGAATTGTGTCTTCAAAACCATAAGCGTTAAGATATCTGTGTTTTCAAAGATCTCTGGCAATGACTAAGCCGAGGATATAAACTTCAAGTAAGACAGATGAGAAATATAGTCGAATGTCTCGTCAAAGAGATGCAAATCACGAATTATTATTTCGGTTTCAGCTGATGACGTTCTTGTCAGCCAAATTTCCTTTTCTGCGAGAAGGGGTTGTCACTGACGAAGGAATGCGTCTAAATTCTGAAATGCGATTGGTCAGAGGAAGTCAGCCGTGATGGACTTTGTACTGTTTTCTTGGAAACTGAAATAGTAGCTGATATTTCGTAGAAATGTTTTGAAAGGGCTCGTCACTTGAAAAACGAACCAGTTTACTACAGTTTAAGGTGATCATCATGAATCCTCTCTTGAAGAGTCTCAAGAAACAAGTTACTTGCTCGATTTGTCTCGATACCTACACCGAGCCTAAAACTATATCATGTCTTCATACATTTTGCTGTAGGTGTTTAGAGAGACGTGCAAGAGTGAGCCAGAGACAATGGAAATTCAGATGCCCCGAGTGTCAGGCAGAAATCGATTTACCGCAAGGAAATCGCTTCGACCGTTTGCCCAAAAGCTTTTTTTCACAAAAGTCTGTTAGGTGTCCTTGAAGCGGAAGATCGCCAAGCCATACCGAGGCAACAACAGGAAACTTGCTCGCAGCATACGGAAGAAAGAGTACGATATTACTGCTCTTCGTGTGAGGCGTGTATTTGTCCAATTTGCGTCACCGAAGACCACCGAGGCCATGCGTTTGATGTGCTTGAAAAAGCAGTGCAAGGGGAGAAGAAAAACATCGTGTCGACTGTCCAGACCATCAAGGAAAAGGCAAACTTGTTTCGAGCAGAGTTAAGAAAATTAGAGAAAACATCAGAGGATGTGGAAATGATTATCGCGATCGCTAAACAAGAAGTGTAGGAGGCAACTGAACACGTGATCACAAAGACGCGACAGCAAGAAAAACAGCTTTTTAGAGTCTCTAGAAATGACGCGTAGGAGGAGAATGGAACGAATCAACTCGGCTAAACAAGAACTGAAATCTCTAATAAAAAAAAATAACTAAGCAGCTGAAGTTGCGGAGAATCTGGTGCAGCGAAGATCAGCTGCGGATATCATACAGAACAAACACAAATTGAGGCAGAAACTTGAAGAGCTTCATGGAGTTGAACTTCCAAAACATCACCGGGCTACATTTGTCAAATTTGCCGCTGCATCTCAACACAACTTTAAACTGGGTTTTGTTCAAGTCACCGAGAGGCCGGCAATCGCAGCTAAATCAACTCTGGAAGGACTGGAGGAAACTTTTCAGGCTGGTGTAGAAGCAAAGTTTGCATTGTGCCCACGGACATCTGGAGGAGAGATAAGTGACTTCGCTGATCGCGAAGATCAAGTCGAATTACTAATAACACCCGCCAAAGATGTGACAAACGTGACTGTTAATGAGAAAGATGTGACAAACGTGACTGTTAATGAGAAATATGACGGAAATGTTAGGCTGAAGTTTACACCCAAAGTACCTGGGGCCCACAGCGTTGAAGTGAGGATTGATGGCGATAAACTACCGACCTGTCCCATGACTGTGCAGGTAAAAGAACGTGAACTTGTTGTGGTCGGCGAGTTGAAGTTAAAGCTCTTTCAAGGGGACATGATTGAACGGTTAAGTGAAATAACTGTAAATACAGAAGGCCAGATAGTTGTGACAGATACATTTGGCCACTATGTCTATGTCTTTGACAAAATGGCAACCGTTTGAGAAAAACTGGAGGCGAGGGTAGCAATACAGGACAATTTCATCCGTCTGAACGCATTTCGTTTTTAAATGACAACGAAGTCCTAATTGCAGATTGCGGAAATAGCAGAAGGGGGGAAGGGGAATACAACGACTTTATTTTCAGACAGGAAAGGAACTGTAGTGAAAAGTTTTGGAAAATTCGGTAAAGAAAACGGAGAGCTAAATAATCCAGTAGGCGTTACTGTGGATGATAAAGAACGCATTGTTGTGAGTGGGGAAATAATAGGATTCAGGTGATGTCGAAGGAAGGATAATCTATTTTTACATTTGGAGACAATAGCCGAGAGAAACTCCAATATCCAAACTGCTGCATTCTTAACAAAAACATGTTTCTCGTATCTGATGGAGGCAACCACTGCATCAAAGCTTTTGATAAGTCAGGAACATTACTATACAAGTTTGGCAAAGAAGGGAATCAAGATGGGCAATTTACAACGCCGTATGATTTGCTTGCAGACAGCTCCAATAATCTCTTAGTATGTGATTCTGGGAATAACGGAGTTTAGCAGTTTTCTTTAGACGGTCGCTTCACCGGCAAAATTATCACTTGTTTATCTAAGCCTAAAGTGATAACAAAAACACCAGACGGGCGTATTTTTGTTACTAGCCATAATGACAAAAAAGTGTATATTTTGAAATAGACTTTTTCAAAAGTGAACTTTGCTTCTTGAGCCGCTCCTTACCTGTATTTTGTTTTGTCTTTAATGCTGTTTTATCACTTGTCTGGAAGAACTCTTAGCGATGATATCTTGACTTAAAATTACTCTTAGGGACAAAAACCTCTAGACTAGAAGTAATTAGGCGAGGCATTTCTGTTAGGTGTCCTTGAAGCGGAAGATCGTTTAACGGCGAGTCCTCAGAAATGTCCAGTACATCAGAAAAACCACAAAACTAAAAATTTGACTTTCTTTTTATGTTGAGAATATATAGCAGGAAAACGTTAAGACCATGTGCTGCTTTTTGTAATCATTTATTGGTCAGGATAGATTGAGTCCGCTTTTTTTAAGCTTAGAAAATGTATCTATAATGACACTTAAATTCAAGAACAATTTATGATTGCATGATTTCACATGAATAAGTAATCAACGAGCACAAGAACTAAGGTGACAACTGTTTTTAAAAACTAAGCTCAAGTGTTAGCTTAAAACTGTTTTGAAAAATAGTCTTAGGTTTTTTTCTATATAATTAGGCGAGACAAATTAGAAATGCATTGAATAAATGAGACTTAAAACTTATTTACAGTTTGTTGTCATGAATGATTAGAAAATAACTTCCGGTTTTGTATCTGGCTTTAAGACCCTTTTTTAATTGTCGCATCATTAAAATGATTCGACAATTAATCAAATTCTAGGATATTGAGAGGAATATGTTCAAAAAATAAGTTTCAAGGTGACAGATAAACAGTTGTAAGTCACAAACTGAAGAGGTCAACTAATCTATTGAATGTGATCAGTCAAGTCATGACAGATTTCCGCTCAGTTTTCTCGGAAATCTAACTATAGTCGTAAAAAGCAGCTTTAAGGTTTTTCAAAAGAAAACTATTTATTTTCTGTATTCAGTCACTGATGTCCTCAAAGCCACAAGCGTTTAGATATCTGTGCTTTCAAAGATCTCTGGGAATGACTAAACCGAGGACAACCTTCGAATAAAATAGATGAGAAACACAGTCGAATGTCTCGTCAGAGGAATGCGAATCGCGAATCTCAGCTAATGACGTTGTTGTCAGTCAACTTTCCTTTCGTGCGAGAAAGGATTGCCACTGACGACGGAAT